AAGCCGGAGGGTTAGGGCTGGCGGGCCGAGTTGGGCCAGCCATTTTGAGAAAATGGCGGGCCTAACCCGACCTGCCTTTGTTGGCGGGCGGTTAGGCCCGCCCGCCAAACAAAGTAACCAGCCACGGGCCGGGCCGGGCGGGTTACTTTTCCACCTTTACTAACAGTTATAAAATATCACATATACCCGCAATTTCCTTACGCTCATGAGCCTGATGAGCCGAGCATTGGCTGCTAGAACTTTGCTTGCCTGCATGAGCCAAGCCACTCAAGCTCAAGCTCGGCTCGACTTTTACCGAGCTGAGATTGAGTTTTTCTCGAACTAAGCATCAACTCGTTTGACATTCCTAATCCCATCTTTTTGGTAATAAAACATTTTTCGGAACCAAATACACCTTCCCATGTAGCTTGGTAAAATCGCAAAGGACAAATCAATTCTTAGAATCTCTTAAAGTAGGAGGTGAAGTAATTCGAGAATATGTATAGCCAAAAACAGGCTAGACTAGATCGACTACCCTGCCACAATGGGACTCTAAAGCGAGACAGTCTAATGAGTAACTTTAATGTTGTAGGAATTTTCTCACTTCAATTCTTAACCAAGAAGATCGTTAAATCCAACTTTAGGTACTCTCATTTTCTCTCACACAAGCATTGTATTTCAATTTCCTTTGCTTATCCTATTAGTTTGGTGTGCTTTCATACTACTAAATTATTTATTTTGTTTAGATTCTTCCATGGGGTGATTTCATTATTGTTTCTGTAATGACTAGATTTGAGAGATGAGAGAATCAGGGATACCCACTAGAAAGATTAATCCAATCCACAATGATATAAAGAAAATACAATTTTTTTTGTTACTCTTAACCATCTGGAGAAGTAAGTAAATGGTTACAATAAGTAGATTGATGAAGTAACAATTAATGCAAAAACACCTAGTTCATTATCAAAGTACTCTTCTTCCAAGCATGCTGCAACTGTTCTACAGTGTGGTAGCAATTGATGAAGTAGCATAAGGTTCTTGCTAACTCTTATAAAGAATATTAATCACTTTGCAGCACAAGGTGCGTGATGAAAAGAGAAGTTATATTAAGAAATTAGTGCCCTACTTGACTGTACACTCTTGTAGCTGAAGTCGATTTTCTGCTTTCCTTCTTTATCACTTCCTCCATTGATTTTCCTAGTGGACTTCGCTAAAACTTGTGCTAAAAATGAAATATAATCTGCTTGTCAGATTGATTTTTAGAGGGTTTAATGGGGCTCGATCACTACATTGTTTTTATGATTGATATGATAGCAAATGATACCTCTGGAAGCTATGACTTGGTCCAATGTTTATGGTTACAGATATTGTTTTTGTGTTCCCTTGCTTGAAATGCATTGGTGTAATTGTACCTTATATTTGATATTATTTGGAATTAAGCATGATTGTTACTAGTGGTTATGTACTAATTACATAATTTCTTGTGTTAGCATTGCCATTTGAAACTCTCGTCATACATTCTGCAGATTGAGAAGAATAAAGGTGAAAAAGGAGGGTTTATGTCTTTTCCGTCGATAGGATCTGGTAGAATTGAGAGTAATACTAGTGGTTTATGTCCTTTCTCTCTTTTAGGGGCAGCCATCAATTGGCATACAATACAACCTCTATTTTCTTCAAACACCTTGTGTTGCAAAGTGATTAATATTCGAGACTTTATAAGAGTTAGCAAGAACCTTATGGTGCTTTATCAATTGCTACTACACTGCAAAATAGTTGCAGCATGCTTTGAAGAAGAGTACTTTTAAAAATGAACTAGGCGTTTTTGCATTAATTGTTACTTTATCAATCCACTTATTGTACACATCTATTTACTTACTTCTCTAGATGGTTGGTCGTTAGAGTAACAAAAAAATGTTGTTTTTTCTGTATATCATTATAGATAGGATTAATCTTTCTAGTAGGTATCCCTGATTCTCTCATCTCTCAAATCTATTCATTCTAGAAACAGCAATGAAATAACCCCTACATGGAAGAATCTGAATAGAATAAATAAGTTAATAGGATGAAAGCACACCAAACTAATAGGATAAGCAAACGAAATTGAAATACAATACTTGTGTGAGAGAGGAGGAGAGCACCTCAAGTTGGATTTGACGATCTTCTTGGTTAAGAATTGAAGTGAGAAAGTTCTTGCAATACTAAAGTTACTCATTAGACTGCCTCACTTCAAACTCACATTGGTGGCGTTCGGTGGGGAAGTTGATCTGGTTTGGCCTGCTTGTGGATATACATCTTCTTGAATTATTTCACCTCTTGCGATGATGTTTGTCTAAGCTTATAAACTGGTCAGAATAATTTATAAACTCTAAAATCAAGCTGACTTATTTATTTATAATTTTTTTTTGCTTGTAAGCCCAAAAAAATAAGTTGGGATAACCTACTTTTTTTTTTTTTTTTTGGTTTTGTTTTGTTTTGTTTTGTTTATAAGCTACTTTGACTAAGTATATTACCATATTACCCCTTATTTAATTTTAAAATTTCATCATATAACTTTATTTTTATATTTCAAACAACTCACGCTTCCATCACTATTCACTGCAAAAATTTCTGAATATAATTATAATTCACTACATTTGTTCCTTAGTTTATTTTGTATAAAGGATCTATAAATCATTTATATAAATTTTTAATAAAATATTTGTTTATTTAATTCTACAATTATAATATATTGTAATATGATCAAAATATATATTTTGATAATATTATAGTAAAAAATTGAGTTAATATAATTTATTATTTGATAAAATAATGTAGTACCATTTTTAGTCATTTTTATAATAAAAAATACTTATAAGCTATATTTTACCAAACACTTCAACTACTTATCAGTCATTTATAAGTACTTTAACCAAACATGTAATTACTTAAATTTTAAATGTTTATAAGCTTAAATTACCTTATCTTATAAACTAATTTTCATAAGTTTAGCCAAACAGATTATGAGATTCTAAGAATTGATTTGTCCTTTGGGATTTTACCAAGCTACATGCCAAGACCTCGACGAGAATTTGCGGCATCAAGAAATAAAAGGCTTTTTGCATGGCCTCTCAATTAGTAATGTGTAAGGTTTAAGGTATTTAGAAACAAAAAATAAAAGTTTTTTTCAATTCAATGTTTATTAAAAGAATAAATGCTCTTTATAGTAATTATAAGTCTAAAAAATTATTATTAAGATTTAGAAATATTTTGGTGGGGCTTAAATAACATCACAAATCAAAATTTATCTTGTCCAAATTAATTAAAGTCCCATACAAAGTCCATAGAAAAGGGTTAGGGAAGCTAAGACAGAATCCATAGTGGAGCAAATGGGCCATTGACCATTCGATACATAACAATCCATACAAATTCAATATAAGACCCAATGAAAGATCAACAACAGTGATGTCAACAGCATGACAATCAGTTGTCTATCTACAACTTTGACTGGTTTAAAATTTCTTTAATTTTTTTTAAATTTTGGTTAATAAAAAAAAATTCAAATTTATTAAATAAAATATATTAATATTATTTGGAATCATTTATGATAATCAATTTTGATTTATATATTTTAAATTAGCGGTAGATATTTATTTAATTCATTTTCAAATAATTTTAATATATGATAAAATATACAAATAAATCATTTAAATCTGAGGGTATTTTCATTCAAAAATCACTAAATTTATTTAATTCTATGATGATTTCCTATTCTAAGCAAACAGTGTAGTTCCATTATATTGTTTTGTATATTTTCTAATTCCATCATATATTTTGTTTTTCTTAAAGTCAGTAAGATGATGACAGCATTTTTTTAGTGTTTTGGGTTATTGTATGCACCGTTTTGGGGCTACTTTATCTTGTGTATTTGGGCTGCGGATAAATGTTTAATATCTTAATGAAGTGATTTTTAACCCTATCTTTTATATATATATTTTTTTTTTTTTATCTTTTCAAACCTTAGTTAATACCGAAAATAATCTTGTTTAATTAGGTTTAATAAAATAGGAGTATATTTAGAAATTATTATGTTATTTCTATAAATTTTCATTAAGGTTAAAGTTTTTAAAACGAAAAATATGGAAAAGTGGGGTTATTGATCAATTTGATTGGGGCTAAAAATCCCATATGTTACTGTTTTAGATTTCTGGAAGTCCTTGTTTACAGGCTACATTTCACTGTATTTTCGGCTGCTGTTATGGGCAAAAGTCTATATTTTGGGCTTATGTTTTACTGGGCTATTGTTTGGTTGTTTTTGGGCTTCTGTTCTATGGTTTCTGGGCTACACTTTCATTGTTTTGGGCAGGTGTTTGGGGCAAAAATCTTCACTTCTTTGGTGCTCCCCTTTTACTGTTTTTCTATTTTTAAGGCTCCTTAAGCCACTCTTTTGCGGTTTATGTTCTACCGTTTCTTGGTCTCTTGGCTACTTTTTCATGTTTTTGGGGCTATTAAAAAACAAACTATATAATTGATTAATTTTTTAATTATATAACTATATGATTCGTTTGTTTATTTACATGGTTAAATTGATTACACAGAATTTCAATATAATTAAATTATCCTAGATTAGTATCCATCAATCTTCTTTTTTGAATGGGAACTCGAGTCATGAGAAGGGTGGTGGACAGGTGGAGATTAAAGCAGCCGAAAGTTAGTGAAACAGTAGCCCCATAACAGTTAAGATTTTCGCCCAAAACAATGAAACAGTAGCCCAGAAACAGTAAAACAGCAGCATGGTTATCACAGCCCAAAATAGAACAGATTTTACTCGACAAAGAAGCCCAAACGTTTTTGCCCAACAGCCCGAAAAACATGAAAATCATACAACAAAAATCAATCTAAGCCCAATTAAATGAAGCACAAGTAAACGGGCCTGTGGGAAGCTAAGAAACAGTCAATAGCAAAGTAAATGGACCACCAATGAAGTATGGGCAATGTTATTTAGGCACCAGTGAAATTCTACACCAGCAATAGAAGCAGTTGATTGTGGCCTTTATGTGAGAAATCTGTTTGTTGTTCTTAGACCATAGTTGACATCAGCGTTTTAGGGTTACTTTGATGATGGTTTAGGAATTGACCACATCTCTTAACTCTGTATGCCACGGATCCTGCTTAGGGTCTTGGCATGTAGCTTGGTGAAATCCCAAAGGACAAATCAATTCTTGGAATCTTAAATTAGGAGGTGAAATAATTTGAGAAGATGTATAGCCAAAAGCAGGCCAGACCAGATCAACTGCTTCACCATCAATGTGAGTTTGAAGCCGTGAAGCGAGACGGTTTAATGAGTAGCTTTAATGTTGCAGGAACTTTGTCACTTCAATTCATAGCCAAGAAGATCATCAAATCCAAGTTTAGGTGCTCTCCGCTTCTCTCAAACAAGCATTGTATTTCAATTTCCTTTGGTTATCCTATTAGTTTGGTGTGCTTTCATGCTGTCAAGTTATCTATGATGTTTAGATTCTTCTATGTAGGGGTTATTTCATTGCTGTTTCTGGAATTAATAGATTTGAGAGATGAGAGAATAAGGGATACCACTAGAAAGATTAATTCTATCCATAATGATATATTGTTACTCTAACCAGCCATCTATAGAAGTAAATGGATGGGTACAGTAAGTAGATTGATGAAGAAGCAATTGATGCAAAAACACCTAGTTCATTATCAAAAATTCTCTTCTTTCAAGCATGCTGCAACTGTTCTGCAGTGTAGTAGCAATTGATGAAGTAATATAAGGTTCTTGCTAACTCTTATAAAGTCTTGAATATTAAACCATGATGAAAACCGAGAACTTTGTCACTAGCTGTTATTAATTGCATGTTTGAAAGTTAAGTCATGTTTCACTCGTTTGGTAAGTTGAGAATTTTCTTTTGCGAATACTGGTAGATTTAGAAAAATTTGCCAATTAAAATTCTTTGACGTTACTGTATACTATGAAGTGATACTTCTTGTACATAATTCAAACTAATACTAGCTGTTTTTGTTTCTATTTCTAATGGTTCGAATTCCTTATTTGTGATATAGAATATAGTTTAGTTAATATATGCTTTCAACACAATCATTCCTTTTGATTTTCAGGTTTGACTCTAGAAATTGTGTCTCGGGATGGTCGACATTTCTCATTGATAACACTAACAGCAGGTAACTGACTACTGTGATTTCAACTTCATCTTATTTAGTTTCAATGAATTAAATTCATACTGTATTCTATTGAATATGCAGTAGTGGATCAATGGATTTTGTTGTGCCTCCAGCTGATTCTTTAGCTTCTTTTTCCCAATTGCTCTGTCTGGTTTTCAGCTACCATTACATACAGTGACCAAAGATTTGCTTTACGTTGCAATTTGTTTTTGTGTAATTGTTTCCATGAATAATATTACAATAATGCTAGAAGTATAAGAAAATTTTATAAAAATTAATGTACAAAGTGATATGACAATAAATAAATGAAATAGTGAATATGATGGGTTTGACTTTTTGTATTCACTTTTTTATTCATTTACTGCTAAATTATTTTGTATATAAATCTTTATAAGATTGTTTTGTACCTCTAGTATTACCTTTTTATGTTTGCATCTGTGTTTGTGGTTTCAATCTTGTGGTAACATAGACCTTCACGAAGTTTTTGGTTAATTATATTTGCTCTTGTTGTAATATCATTTTCAATCATAAAGTTTAATATATCTCAGTGTTTTCATTGGTACTCTATAGAAATTTTTTCTGTACATTTTGCAATTTGAGTCATCCACATTTCTGAAGTCTGGACTAACACCAGAAAATCTAATGCATTGAAATTTGAGTTGATCCTTGCTTTTGATGAAGTTATCTCACAATGACAACGAAATAAATAAAAATGACAATGAAATAAATAAAAATGTGAGGGTTACATTTATTTGTGATATTAATCATGATTATATTATTCAAATTATATTTTTAATTCACTTGACAATGGGTTGCGTTCAGATTGTGGTTAGGTTTTTCGCATAAGAATCGATTTAAATTAGCTTTCATGGCACTACTTTATATCACTAAAGCTACTCAATTCTTCTAGATCCCATCGACTGCAAGAACATAAACCCTCCTTTTTCACCTCTATTCTTCTCAATCTGTAGAATATATGAAGAGAGTTTCAAATGGCAATGCCAACACAAGAAATTTTGTAATTAGTACATAACCACTAGTAACAATCATGCTTAATTCCAAATAATACCAAATATAATGTACAATCACACCAATGCAACGTGACCTATTTCTTCTTGTAAAGACCTCAGACCTATTTCTTGTTCTAACATCATTTACAAGTGCATTATTAAAATCATTGTGAATAGAATGAAGAGTAAAATTATACACAATATATTAATGATGTGATATATTTGTTTTACTGTAGTTAGAAAGGGAGAATGGCGATAGAGATTCGTGAATATACATAGTAGTTTCTGGAAGGAAGAAAATGCAAAATGGAGGTATTATTTGATATGGTAAAAGAGCCGTGGGATGATTAGAGTCCTGCAAAATGCAAATTCCACGTGAAAAACTGGAACCAACTAGCCTTCTTTCAATCTTTTGCTTTTTTGAATTGTGGTTCTTTCACCTAGCTAGAAAAATATAAAATATAAATTAACTCTCCTAATAAATGGAGGTACAGTAATCACAAACTTTTTGCCTATTGTTCAGATTTGTTGAACTCTTTTAACACATTCATGTTCTTGCCTAGCTAAGAGTAAGACACACACATGATTTCATCGAGGAGAAATCTCAAATTAATATTCGAAAATTATAAGAGATATATATAGACTTTGGTAATGTGCGACACTTGTGTAACGATATATATATAAATGAAGATGTTATGCCATATCATTTCTTAACACATCATTACACAATTCAATGCTCAAGATTTTATAGTTGGAGACAAAGAAAAGACGGTGATTCTGTAAATTGTAGTTTTAAGTGATGATTCGTTTTTATGGACATCATGATCATGTCATTTTGATAACTCAATAAGAAAGAAATTTTCATCAACAGTGGATTATGATGATTGCTAACTGTAACTTGTAACTCATAAATTCATCATCATATAGCACAATGACGCCAACAATTAGAGCAAGTTCCCTTTCTTCTAACTAGGATTAATTACAGAAAGAAACTCCAATGGTAAGAAACAGAAGGAAAAAAGGCGGCCAATATTAGTTTAAATTACGGAAAAGTATCACTTCACATAATACAGTAACATCAGTGCTCAGACCGAATCCAGAACCACTACCAAAACCACCTCCACCACTAAAAATGCTCTATTCTTCTCAATCTGCATAATATATGACGAGAGTTTCAAATGGCAATGCAACACAAGAAATTATGGAAGGCGCCAATTAGAAAAGGAACCACTGCAGAACCATAAAAAAGTACGTTGTTTTTTTCAATCTCACTAGCTTCGCACTTCATGACATCCTTGGTTTCATTGATCTTGCTCTGCAATAACAGCTTGTGCAACTTCTCTTCATGGCTCTCCATCTCACAGTACTTGCTTAACCTGAGCTATGCTCACGATTTCCTTGTGCCCAAGAGAGATCATCAAAAGCCAGGATCAGCTCAAATTTCAATACATTGGATTTTTCGGTGTTAGTCCAGACTCCAAATATGTGGATGACTCAAAATGAAAAATGTACAGAAAAAATTTGAAATAGAGTACCAATGATGACACTGAGATAAATTGAACTTTATGGTTGAAAATGATATTACGACAAGAGAAAGTCAAAAGGTATGCTAGTGTTGAAGGAAAATATTTTTTGTCATGGCAGATAGAAGCCAGCAAAGATAACTAAAATCCAAAACTCATAAACCATAAAAAAATCAAATTTCTTACCTCCAATCCCGATCAATGTACCTCTCAAAGAGCTGGAAGAGGAACAGAGATCACAACATTTTGCAGATCAAACATTGATGAAGCTTCATATTCAATGCTCACATAAGTTTCATTTCCAAAACCAGAGGGCTAGCAGTGACTGCAATATATATAAATTCATATAAATGCTTTTAGCTTAGAAAAGAAATGATATACAGAGAAAAATTCAGTGGAAGACTTGAACCCACTTGATTATTTATTGCAACTGAATAAGAGAATATGTAACTCAGGAAGTTATAATCACAGTAGTCAGTTACCTGCTGTTAGTGTTATCAATAAGAAATATTGACCATTCTGGGACACAATTTCTAGAGTCATACCAAAATTTTTAAGGGTTTTAGAGCCCCAATTTAAATATCTAAACTAGCAAAGACACTATTATTTTCAATAATATGAACAACAAAATATAGATAATTGATAAAAAACAACATTTAACAAAAATAAATAAATAAAAATTAAAAACCAGCTGTGCTCTACTATAAAGAACTATATCACACGCATAACATTATTCTTTTTTGGGATTGAAACATAGGTACAGCAATTCATATGTGTATATTTTCAATCAATACTCTGTTCTAGGGATTAAAAAAAAAAAAAATAGTATTATAACCAATAGTAACAGTTATGCCTAATTCCAAATTAAACCAAATATGAGGCACAGTCACAACAATGCATTTTAGACAAGGGAAACAAAAACAGTATCTATAACCATAAACATTGGATCAAGTCATAGCTTCCAGAGGTATCATTTGCTATTATAAGTTGAGAATATATACCTCTAAAATTTGTAAATTGTTGTCAATGACAAATTGAAGCCATTACAACTTAAATCCAGTCCGTAAAAACTGGATAAACTCAAAATGCTTACCTCCACTCCCATCAATCGGCCTAACACTTGGTGATGCAGAAGCAAATAAGAAAAAGATAAATACAATAAATATGTTAGGTTGACTTTTGTCTTTGTCCCAGAGGAGAGAAATAAGCCTTAGCTTTTCACTTTTCACTTGGAGGGTTATAAATAAAGCATTTCTTTGTCCTTTGTAAACCATCTCTGAATATTATAAAATATATCTTGACTTAAACATTTGCTTTCTTTTTATCTTTAAGGTTATAGTTATCCTTAGCTTAGCCAACTAAGGTGGCATTTTGGCTATTCTCGCCATAGTGGAGTTTATTCTAATCTCATCACGATTGATATCCATAGTGGGGTTTCCAACCTCGCCAAGATTGGAGTTCTCGCGACATCTCGATGTCAGCTTAGTATCAAAACTTCGGTTTCTTCCTCAGGTATTTTTCCTCCTTTTCACTTTTACTTTAAGTAACCATTATTTTAGTTTTTTTTTTTGCCTTGCCTAGTCATTAGTGTAAGTTATTTGTCAACTTATGAACCTAGAGTGGTAAATTTCAATCCTAGTATGATCACCTTATCTTGTCTTAGCAGAATCTACTTTTGTTTAAACTTCCACTATGACCATCTCGTGTTTAAGGTGTGATGAGAATGCAAAATGTCATATTTATCCCCCTTAATGCCTAGTCTTTTATACCTATTTGCTGCCTAAAATGTACTGATTTTTATTCTATTTTGACTTAGGAAGCTAATGGGAGCGTTAATTGCAAAACGGAACTAATTAAGTGAATTCGGACAGTTTTGACATTGTTTCGTAGTTTGGGCATAACTCTCTCATCTAAGCTCCGATTGAGATGATTCAAAATGCTGTAGAACGCTAAGAAATATATCTACAACTTTTATGTTTTGAGTTTGGAGAGATAATTGCTGCATCAAGGTTGTAATTGGGCTTGAAGTTGACGCATCTGCACTGCCGATGTTCTGGAACATTCTGCCTTGTAATGCAAGTCCAAGAGGCAGTTTATTATTGGAAGATTTGAAGACATGTGGCACACGAGTTACAGCTGGACACATCACTTTCCTATTTTTATTTTTAAGACTTTATTGTATTTTCAATTAATTAGAATCAGATTAGGATAATTGATTTTAGGAGATTGAGTTGGATTCAAACACTTGAATTAGATTTTTGGGAGGAGAGATCAGATTAGTTTTTTTTGGGTGGACACACGCCTCTCTCTGGTCTTCTCTGAACTTTTCCTCTGTAATTCGGTGATGGCCATGAGAGGCTGATTTTGATAACTTGGTCGAAGTAAACGGAAGCCTCGGAATCGATAAACTGTGAGATCTAATATAATTTTCTTTGTGTTCAATTTTCGTGTTTGAGTATTGGATGTTTTTCTATGCCTAATTTTATGATTGTTTCATTTAATTACTAGGGAGGCCTACTAGTTTATTAATTGTCGCAATCTACTGCTAAGTTAGATATCAAATCCGTAATTGTTTGATCCCTCCAACTTGCGAAGCAATTAGGGTTAGTAATTTGCTGCGTCAGGAATTAATAACCTTACGAAGAACATTCAACTAAATTAAATACAACCGCTTGTGTTTGTGTTGTTTAGCTTCATCGATCTCTCTAATTCTTAAGGCTGCCACTAGATTAAATCTTGAGCGCTTGTCTAGGGTTGTTTAGGGGTAAGATTAATTAGGATCGCTTGTTTTCTGATTAATTACAATTAAGGAGAGATAGGAAATTAGTTCCAATGGTGAATATTCAATGTGTGAATTGATTATCTTCGCATCAATGATCAGTTGTAAGATTCCGATGGTGGATGTTGACGGAGACCAAGTTTCGTTATATTAATTGATTTCGAATTGAACTGTTTTTGTTTTTGGTTTT